GACGAGAACGTCTGGAGCTCCAGAGACCTGCGAGGCAGCGAAGAAGAGAAGGACAGAAGAGAGAGGGAGGTGGAGGGGGGGGGAGGAAGAGGAGGAGGAAGGGGAGGAAGAGAAGGAGTTGAGTAAGAGGAGTGGCGCGGCAGGACGAGAAGGAAGTCAGTACCCCGAGCTGAAGTCCTCAGAGCGATGGCAGGGGAGCGAGGTTCCTCGCTGGATCAGCTTGTGCATGATCCCTCCTTGCACTTCAATGCCAATGGATAGCGACACAGCCGCCTCCTCCCTCTCCTCCCTCCCCTTCTCTGCTCGACTCCTCCTCTCCTCCAGCTGCTGCATGTGCGCGCATACTCCCTCAAGCACCACGTGATCCATCGGCATGGCAGCGGGAAGATTGAGCTTGCAGGCATGTCAGAGCATCCCTCGCCTGCTCCTCCTTCTCTTTCTCCTCCTCCTCACTTGCGACCGGAACATGGATCGCAGCTTGTCCTGCACCGCCTTGATCTCACAGCAGCCTCCCGCCACCAGCACATCGGCGATGCTCTCCTGCCGTACCTGCCATTCGCATGCCCACATGACTGAGGTGAAGGGCAGGAGAGGAGGTAGAGGAGGCAGCGGCAGAGCTAGGGGAAGTGGGAGGGAGATAGAGGTAGGGCAGGAGATAGAGGTAGGGCAGGAGATAGAGGTAGGGCAGGAGATAGAGGTAGGGCAGGAGATAGAGGTAGGGCAGGAGATAGAGGTAGGGCAGGAGATAGAGGTAGGGCAGGAGATAGAGGTAGGGCAGGAGATAGAGGTAGGGCAGGAGATAGAGGTAGGGCAGGAGGTAGAGGTAGGGCAGGAGATAGAGGTAGGGCAGGAGATAGAGGTAGGGCAGGAGTAGAGGTAGGGCAGGAGATAGAGGTAGGGCAGGAGATAGAGGTAGGGCAGGAGATAGAGGTAGGGCAGGAGATAGAGGAGGCAGACTGACTGAGTTGTCCCCAAGGAGTTGAGAAGAGAGGGCAAGGACTCTACAGCAGCAGGTCAAAGCAAGGCTGATCCTCTTGCTCCTCACCTGTCATAGATGTCCTCACAAAGCTCCTCCATCTTCTGTCGCGTCATGTGCACCTTCAGCCTCCGAGCCTGTTCCCCCCTCAGCTCCCCCTCAGCTCCCCCTCAGCTCCCCCTCAGCTCCCCCTCAGCTCCCCCTTCTTCTCTCTTACCTTATCAACTTGATCAACTTCGATCGTCGTCTGCTCCTCTGAGCACAAGACTCGCTTGGCGTCATCGCAGGCGACGAGCACACGAAACATGAGCTGCTAGACGTCAGCTGAGAAGGTTGCTCTGCCTCTCACCTCCTTATCGTCTCGCAGGTCGACACCGTGACAGGCCTGATACTCCGCAAACAAAACTTTGCTAGCCGCTGAACGAAAGAGAGCAAGTGAGATACAACTATCATCACCTCCTCTCATACTCTCATACTCTCATACTCTCATACTCTCATACTCTCATACTCTCATACTCTCATACTCTCATACTCTCATACTCTCATACTCTCATACTCTCATACTCTCATACTCTCATACTCTCATACTCTCATACTCTCATACGCTGTCAGTCTGACCTTGTCCATTTCTCGCCCGCTGGTCTTAAAATCTTGGAGGCTGTCCAGCACTTGCAGCTCGTGATCCTCGAGCTTAAGGAGAGAGACCCGCAAGGCCATGGCTGACACCAGCCACGTCAGAGCGAGGAGGGAAGCGAGCCGAAGCCCTAGGACAAGGACTAGTGATGACGATCCGGAGGAGGAGGAGGAGGAGGAGGTGGTGGTGGTGGTGGTGGTCAAGATAGAGATGTAGAGGATGCGCTGCTTGTAGGAGTTTCACCTCCGAAGTTAACAGTGAGGGCGAGGCGACGGTGAGCTTTCCTACCGTGCCTTCACTCTCTTCATCTCCTCCTCCTCCCATACCTCTCGTATCCGTACGCCTTGCCTATCGCCACCGGCTCCGTCACAAACTCCACCCCCTGTCGCGCGCTTGAGAGTTGAAGGAGCCAGAAAACGTCACCTGCGCGATGCCGCATCTCTTGAGCACATCTTGGAGGAACTGAAGGAGGCGTAAGGGCTGGGGGAAGAGGAGAAGAAGGGCCCGACCTCCTTCTGCATGTCGTTGAACAGCTCAGGTACCGCCATCACTGCTGTAAGCTGCTCCTTCTGCACCTCCTCTCCCATGGCCGAAGAGAGCAGCTCGGTCACGAGCATGGCGGTGAGATCTTTCAGACTGATCTTCTCTATCATCCCTCGCTCATCCTTGCAGAGAACCTGAAGGGACAAGTCAAGGAGAAGCAGGGCAAGCACAGCTTCACTCACGCTGATCGCATCCTGACCTTGGCTGGCGTCTCGTTCCAGCCATAGCATGTGATCCTTGTCCAAGAGTTCGTCGTCCTCTCCTCTCCTCCCCACCAGCCTCATCAGGTCATAAGCCGCAGCTCTCGGATGCTCCCGCCCGATCCTCCGCCCCTCCTCCCCGCAGTGCCACTTCCCCTCGAAGCGACAGAGCCATGCTGGCGCCAGGCGGCGCTTCCATGGTCCACGCGCACGGGAAGGCACAAGAGCTCTCGCGTCTTCCCCCTCCCTCTCCTCTCCTCGCACGCAAACTCCCCATGTCGCCGACCCCACCGCCAACCCAACTGCTGCCATCCCGCTGTTACTCCCGGCTAGGGCCCTGGACCCCACCCCTTCCTTCCCCTTCAGATGAACCCTACCTTCTCCATAACACAAATGTGACTTGTCCGCACGCCTTTTTGAATTCCGACCCGGCGGGGCTCGCCCGGGCCCCCCCCGCGGCCGGCCGCCGTCGCCGGCGGTGAGTGCTTCTTGGAGGGCACTGAGTTTTACTCGCATAAGGTAAAAAGTGCCTCAAGCAGAAGAAAGCAGCAACAAGCAGAAGCGTCAAACACACGAAACACAAGACCGAAAGTAACCAGCACTGCTGGCAACCAGACCCTACACTGCCCGGCCAGCCCACGCGGCAAGCGAGGCCGCCGAGACCGAGACCGCCATTGACGGCGACGACGCTGCAGCAGTGCCCAAGGACCCCGTCGGGGGGGGGAGCCGCTCTCCGGAGGCATCAGACGTCCGACTGGCACACTGTGCGGATGGACGGAAAGGCGGGCTCCAGCGCCACTCTTGATGCCGTTCCATCGTCCGGGAGTCCGAGACTTCCGGTGCCAGACTCCTCCGGGGCGACTCGACAAAGTCCGAGGAGGAGGTGTCCTCGAGGAGCGATTGCTCACACGACGGTAGAGGATCGCTCCAGCATTATGAACCATGTGAACGAAGTCGTGCGCCTCAACGAAGAAGGTCGCCAGAGGATGCTTCTGGGCACGGAAAGATCTCGAGCAGTGAACGTCCAGGCTATGAGGAGAGGGCAGCGACCGTGACATTGGCTGGTCAGAGTACCAAGCGAGGAAGCGAGCGATAGCCGTATAGTAAACAGCGGGGTGTAGACCCTCAGAGGGCGTGAACTCGTCCCCTCCTCGACTATGCGGAAGCTCCCGCTTGAACCTCGCAAACTCTAGCAGGTCGGGATGCGCGGCGAGGTACTGCGAGGAAGGCCAGCGGTGGTATTTCTCAAGCGCCAGGTGGACAGAGAGGTCTGCTTGAGGCACTTTTTACCTTCTGCGAGTAAAACCACAAAAGCAGCGTGCCAAGCTAAACCTGCATGCACACAGCGCCACAGCGAGAAGCTGCACAAACACACACAAAAAAAAGACCAAAAGTAACCAGCACTGCTGGCAACTGTCAGCAGACCCGGCACCGCCAGCCTACGCGCGAAGCCACGCAGCCTCAAGCAACAGTCGCTAGGAGGGGTAACAAACTCAGCAGGAGGGGACGTCCGAAATGAAACTCCCTTTGGTCGGCACTTCGTTGCTGCTGAGGTCTTGGCTCGCAAACGCGCCGCCACCTATCAGCGCCTCACCATGCAGCTGACGCTGGAGGCGCTCCTATCTGGTGCGAGGCGCATGACGCCCTTGCGTTCGCAAGCACTTCTCGAGCCAGAGGACAGCTCCTCCTCGGACTTTGTCGAGTCGCCCGAGGGATGACGGATTTACTGGCAGAAGGTAAAAAGTGCCTCAAGCAAAAGAAAGCAGGAACAAGCTAAACCTCCTGGCACACAGCGCACAGCGAGAAGCCGCACAATCACACACAAAACACACGCCCGAAAA